ACAATCTTACAGTCTCATTTTGATTTTTTAAACTAATGATACAATTTTTCCCTTTTCAGACTTCTGTTTCATGATGACAGACTAGGCACATATGGTAGCCCTCCCTTTCTACACCAAATCTCTTTATTACATAAAAAAAAAAAAAAATCTATGAGTAATATCCTAGAAATAAAAAAATTAGGACAAAACAAAAGAGAGAAACAGCAGCTCATGATGTAGGCAGAAGAATGCTACTGCACAAATGTCGGGAATGGTTAAGCAGGTAGATTTCTGTGTTCTTGCAGATGCTACAATCTCAACTTCAATGCAATTCTCCCCAACTTGCTCAACAATTCGATTCTAATCAAAACATCAACAGGCTTTAAAAAAAAACTACATGATAAGCAAATTCTAAAATGTATCAAGAGCAAAGGGCCAAAAGATCCTGAAGAACCTGGCAGCAGATCTGCTCTATCAAGTATTAAGAATTATAAGCTATAGGAATTAAGTCAGTACAGCATTAGCTCAGGTACAGACAAGCCAATGCAACAAACTGGAGAACAGAGAAACAGAACCTGGTATACATGGAAACCTGGCAGATTACGGCTAGTGCTGCAGGTCAGTGGGGAAATGATAAAAGTTTTAATAAATGGTCTGGAACACTGCTTTAAAAAAAAAGTGAAAATGAATCTATTTCTCTGTACAGATCCACAAAAACCAAATCCAGACAGTTAAAAGGTTTACATTGTAAAGGCAAACTGTAAAACTTTTAGAAAAGCCTAAGAAAGTAATTATGACCCCTAATTTGGCAACAATTTCTTAAAACACAAAACGCTCAACCATAAAAGAAATTGATCGATTCAACACCACCAAAATTATTCATCAAAAGATACCACTGAGCCCTTGCTGGTTTGGCTCAGTGGTCAGAGTGCTGGCCCTCGGACTGAAGGGTCCCGGGTTTGGTTCCGGCCAAGGGCATGTGCCTCAGTTGCAGGCTGATCCCGGCCCAGGCTGGGGCGCATACGGGAGGGAACCAATCGATGTGTCTCTTTCACAAGGATGTTCCTCCCTCCCTCCTTCCCTCTCTCTTTCTCCCTTCTACTCTCTCTGAAAAGCGATGCAAAAAAGAGGATTTAAAAAAAGAAAAAAAGATACCACTGAAACGGTAAAAAGGCCAGTCATAACCTGGAAAACTATATTTAATAACATATAACTGACAAAGGATTAGCATAGACTATTAAAAATATTTATCAATAAAAAACAACTCAATAGAAGAATGGATTAAAGAATGTCACAGAAAACAAATGATGCTTAAGTAACGTATGAAAAGACAATTTCTTGAGTATTCAGGGAAATACAAACTAAAACCACAATGAGATGATACCATTTCACACCTCCCAGCTTGGCAAAAATTAAAGTCCTGTAATACATGGATTTGCAAGATGTTCAGTAATGGGAACATTTATGTTCTGTAGGTGAGAATGAACATAAAAAAACTTTAGAAAGCAATCTGACAAATCTAGTCAAGTCAAACATGGGAATAGCATGTAATCCAGCAATTCTATCCCTAAGTATATACCTCACAGTAAACTTTAAATCTTTGTCCAGAACCCACATCAATAGATTTTACCCAATACAAGCATAACTCAGAGATATTGTGGGTTTGGTTCCAGACCTCCACAATAAAGTGAATATCACAATAAAGCAAGTCATGTGAATTTTTTTGGTTTCCCAGTGCATATAAAAGTTATGTTTACACTATATTATAGTCTATTATTAAGTGTCCAATAGCACTGTGTCTAAAAAATATAATGTACATATTAAATTTAAAAATACTTTATTGCTAAAAAATGCTATCATCTGAGCCTTCATGGAGTGATAATCTTTTTGCTGGTGGAGGGCCTTCTTGATGGCTGCTGGCTCATTAGCGTGGCAGTTCCTGAAGGCCAGGGTGGCTGTGGCAATTTACTAGAAGACAATGAAGCCTGCTGCATGGATTTACTCTTCCTTTCCCCAAATATTTCTCTGTGGCAAACAATGCTGATAGCATTTTACTCACAGGACTTCTTTCAAGATTAGAGTCAATCCTCTCAAACCTTGCTGCTCCTTTATCAACTAAGTTTATGTATATTCTAAATTATTTATTGTCATTTCAACAATTTTCATAGCATGTTCACCAGGGGTAGATTTCCTCTCAAGAAACCACCTTCTTTGTTCTTCAATATGCAACTCCTTATTCTGGTCAAGTTTTATCATGAGACTGCAGCAATTCAGTCACATCTTCAGGCTCCATTTCTAATTCTAGTTCTCTTGCTATTTCTATCACACATGCAGTAACTTCCTCCACTGAAGTCTTAAAGCCCTCAAAGTCATCCATGAGGGCTGGAATCAACTTGTTTCAAACTCCTGGTAATGTTGATATTCTGACCTCTTCCCATGAGTCACACATGTTCTTAATGGCATCCAGAATGGTGAATAATTTCCAGAAGGCTTTCAACTTATGTTGGGAGCCGGTGACGTGTCTGGACATGGTCCACATCACCTGAGGGTCTGGAGTCAAGGACTTGACCCTCCCCACAATTACCCTTTGTTGGGAGCCGGCTACTGTCTGGACATGGTCCACGTAGCCTGAGGGTCTGAAGTCAAGGACTCGACCCTCCCCACAAGTTCCCATGAGGAGCCGAGATAAAGAAATTACCAAGGTCTGGGCTCAGGCAGGAGACAGGATATTTACTCTGCAAGAGTGTTTATGCAGCCTTGAAGGAACTACTTTGTATCACCCGTACCTCATTACTAATTGTTTGTTACTTACTGTATAATAAAGGCATTGAAGCCATCTGGCCCTGCTCCTCATTAGAGGGCAGTCCTCCTGATCCCATAACTTTGTCTCTTTCATTCCCACCGCTCCAACTCAGGTTTGTTCGTTTTTCAGGCTGGTTCCTGACAAATTTACTTTGTCCAGATCCATCAGAGGACTCATTATCAGTGGCGGCTTACAAAATGTATTTCTTAAATCATAGAACTTGAGAGTCAAAATTACTCCTTGATGTATGGGCTGCAGAATGGATGCTGCGCTAGCAGGCATGAAAACATTAATTTTGTTGTATATCTCCATCAGAGCTCTTGGGTGACCAGGTGAATTGTTAATGAGCCGTAATATTTTGAAAGGAATCTTTTTTTTCCCTTAGCAGCAAGTATCAACAGTGGGCTTAAAATACTCAGTAAACCATGCTGTCAACAGAAGTGCTGTCTGTCACCCAGGCTCTGTTGTTCCATTAATAGAGCATGAGCAGAGTAGATTTAGCATAATTCTTTTTTCTTCTTTTTTTTTAAGCATAATTCTTAAGGGCCCTAGGATCTGTGGAATGGTGAGTGAGCACTGGCTTCAACTTGAAAGTCACCAGCTGCATTAGCCCCTAACAAGAGATTCAGCTTTAAAGCCAGGCAATGACTTCTCTCTAGCTAGCAATGTCCTAGATGGCATCTTCGTCCAATAGAAGGCTGTTTCATTTACACTGAAGATCTATTGTTTAGTATAGCCCCTTCATTAACTATCTTAGCTAGATCTTTTAAAGAACATGCTGCAGCTTCTACATCAGTACTTCCTGTTTCACCTTGCACTTTAATATTATGAAGATGCTTTCTTTCTCATAAACCAGCCTCTGCTAGATTCCAACTTTTCTTCTGCTTCCTCACCTCTCTCAGTTTTCATAGAAGTGAAGAGGGTTAGGCGCTGAATTAGGCTTTGGCTTAAGAAAATGCTGTGGCTAGTTTGATCTTTTACCCAGACCACTAAAACTTTCTCCATATCACCAATAAGGCTGTTTTGCTTTATCATTTGTATATTCACTGGAGTAGCACTTTTAATTTCCTTCAAGAACTTGGTTAACTGTTCAGTGCGAGAGGCCTAGCTTTATGCCTATCTCAGCTTTTGACATGCCTTCCCTACTAAACTTAGTCATTTCTAGCTTTTAATTTCAAGTAAGAGACATGCAATTCTTCTTTTCATTTGAACACTTAAAGGCCATTGTAAAGTTATTAATTGGCCTGATTTCAAAATTGTTGTGTCTCAGGAAACAGGGAGGCCCAAGGAGAGGAAGAGAGATAGGGGAACGACCAGTCATTGGATCAATCAAAACATACACATATATCTATTAAGTTTTCCATCTTATATAGGTGTGGTTTGTAGCTCCCCAAAACAATTATGTTAGTAACATCAAAGATCACTGGTCACAGAATACTGTAACAAATATAATAATGAAAAAAGTTTGAAATATTGCGAGAATGACCAAAATGTAACATATAGACATGAAATGAGCAAATGCTGTTGGAAAAATGGTGCTGATACAGTGGCTCAATGCAGGGTTGCCACAAACCTTCAACCCAGTATCTGGGAAGCACAATAAAAAGAGGTATGCCTGTACACACATAAATGAAACAAAAGCTTCATGAAACAACTCTTTCACTGTGTGCAATGGTACTGGGGATGAGAAACCCTGGACTAAACTCATGTTTGCCAAAAATATGTTAACACGTTGATTGCTGAGATGCCTCAGATGCTTCTGAGGGCACTATAGAACACATGATAAAAAGATAGCATTACTACTACTCTGAAAATCAGAAAACCTCTTTAATTCCAAAACATAGTTGGCTCCAGGGGTTTTAAACACGGGAGTGCAGATTCTATATCACCATTCTTATAATAGTACGTCTTTCTCAAATATCACAAATTTCATTAATATCGGGGAGCTATGACTATAGCGCAAGTCTCTGAAAATGAAGGAGTACAGAAATTCACTGGACATAGCAAGTCGGTCGAGCAACAACTTTAGTTTTATTCTTTTCTATCAGTTTAAAATAAGCTAGCCTTTCAAAAGTGCCTATATACCACAATGAATTGTTTTCTTGTATGTTTACTGTGCTCGCCAAAAAAAATATCAACTTATTATACTTTAATTTAAGAGAAATCAAATGGGTAACAAAATAATAAGTGAGACTCTTAAAACCACAGTATTATTTACCTTTCTCTGTGCCTGAGAATATAGAGATGATTTTATTCCTGGGCTTTTTTTCCTCTGGAACAGAGGGCAAAGGTTTCAAACTGTGATTAGCTGACAAAGGGTCTTTGCCTCCAGTGCTAAAAATGGTACTGCTCATTCTCACAGGAGGCGCCGGAGGCTTGTCTTCCAGTTCTCCGTTATCAGACATGATTCAGAATTACGATACGACCTGAAACAGGCAAAAACTTAGTTAATAACAAAGTGAAAAATAGTAGGGACTAGCAAAAAACAGTAACAATCCCCTACTTCAATTTCAGATTACATAATGTTACCCATTTAGAGGGAAATCTGCAAGATCTGTAAAACTCAATGAATAAGAGATGAAATTGGTCATCTATAAACACAGGCAATTTCCCCTAACAAAGTTAGTAAATGGTTAGCTGAGGAAATGTCTGAAAAGCCATGTCCAGTTTAGAGGACTATGGTAGTCTTGGGAAAGTACGATGATACTAACATATCAAAAGATTCATCTAATCAATTGATTCTAAGAGTAAATGTTCTAATAAAAAGAGACAATATGGAGTCTTAAAAAAAGAGAATTCCAAAGAGAAAGACTATGTCCTAACCAGCCAATAAAAGGCTATGTCTTCATTTCTCCAGCAGATGTAGGGCACTTGCTATTAAATATACCAATGAATCCCCCACCCTGAAATCTGATTCCATGCTCACCAGCTTTGTGACTATAACTTATCCTTCATATAAGCTTTCCCGAAAGGATGAAATGTGCCATTGATGCGATATTTGGTCTCTGAAAATTTGACATTCTAACTACATACCTTAGTCCCTTGCAAGTTTTGCAAACAGGGCCATAGAACTTGATCCATCTGGGAACACTGACAAAAGTAAATCCAGAGCTTGGCTAAAAAACAGAGCATGGCCACATCCCAAGGTTCTATCAGCCTGTGATGCCCATGGCTAATTCAGTGGAAACTTTAACCCAGCTACATATACTTAAATATATTTTGTCTTTAAAAAAGTGGATTACACACATTTAAAAACAGCAGTTAAGGGGAGAGGATACCTAATTTACAGATGAATTCTGTTATAAAACTATATATCCTAGGAAACAACACACTTCTGCACTAAAGGTTTCGACTGGTAATTAGATCCTGTTTTATTATGAAGTTATTTAATGCACGTAAGTGAACAAAACTTTGTATATGTACAATGAAAATGCCAACTCTATTTACATAAAATTAAAAATTACTTAGTTTGAATGCTAGTACCTGAAGTAGGTATAATTTGGAAAGAACTGAGTAAAAAAGAGGTTATTATACCTAATTATACTCTAAATCATACACCTTTTGTTTTCCTTGATAGGAGTGTATCACTAGCACTACTGTATATTTTATCTGCCATAGAAAGTTATTTTTCAGCCTACAAAAGGAGGAGAATGAGAGAAGGTAAAGGGGGAAAAACATTTCTGGGAATAACTACTAGAGAAGGGCTGGGAGAATGAAATAAAAAAGATTTATATTTGTGTGTAAGACTGCCTGAAGTGAAATTAAACTACTGTTAGTCAAAGAAAGAAATGGGTATGAGATCTAAGAGGGTAGTGCAGGTGAAATACAGTCAAATGATTCTTCCAAACCAGATGGTTACATCATGTGGGGTTTGCTTTGTTTTGGGGTGGGATAGCAGCAGGAAGTGACAAGTTGTTTTTAAGCGTGGGCTGTCAGGTGTGCATTGCCAGAGGGGACTTATCTATTGCTACAAATGGAAGGCAGACAAGGCTTAGTAACAGTATTTTGAGGATTATTTGATGAATCAAGACAGATGTTTATCTCTTATGTGACCATAACATTAAGGGAAAAGAGATGAACCTTGGAGCAGCTCACTTTCATCTTAATCGCCAGTGACAACAGAAACAGGATCAGATTTTAGTTACACTTTGACCAAATATCATCTATACTAATGCATATTAAATTTAAAAATCAGAATGTTACTGGAGATCCACCCGAGTCTAAGTGGGCTTTCCCCTCCTTGGCTCTTGTCACACTTGCCAGAAAGAATTCAGACAAGTGATAAAAAGCGGTGTTGAAGCAAAGCAAGTGAAATTTATTAAGAAAGCCAAGCAAGCAAATTTATTAAGAATATACCTGGGCCCGGCTGGTGTGACTCAGTGGTTGAGTGCTGACCCAAGAACCAAGAAGTGACCCATTCAAATCCCTTTCAGGGCACATTCCCGGGTTGTGGGCTCAATTCCCAGCAGAGGGGCCTGCAGGAGGCAGATCAATGATGTTTCCCTCTCATTGATGTTTCTCTCCCTCTCCCTTTCTCTCTCTTTCTAAAAATCAGTAAAAATATTTTTTTTAAAAAGAATACACTTGGCATAAAGCATAAGCAGGCAACTCAGCTAGTCTGAGCACCCTACCTGGTGGGGATTCAAGGGTTTTATACTTTCCCCTCTATTGGTTTCAAGGTTCTCCTGCCAGATAGACTAGATTTCAAGGTTCCCCTTTTACACTGTTGTGGCTTTTTCCAGAATTTATGAGGACATCTGGCAATTTTATCTTGGCAAGTCCCAAGATGGCTGACTTCTTTGTTCAGTGGGTGAGATAAACTCCTCCTTTTCCCCCCTTCCCCTGCTCCCACCATAGCAGCTATATGTCCTACCTAACATTCTCCCCTCAAGTGATACCATCCAAATGCCTTTGGGTTATTTGTCCCCCAGACTTTACCTGTCCTTGGGTTTAGCTGGCACAAATGGCATTAATTGGGTCTTTGTTCTCTATTTCCCAGGCCAAGGTGATTTAAGCTATGCATTCTTCGTTAGGGAGGAGAAGTATAAATCATTTGCTCTCAAGTGTCTTTGGTTGGGGAAGATAAGTTCTTGGGATACACAAGCTGGCTGCAAGCTGCCCATGCTGTTTGGCCTTGTTTAATTTTCTTGTCTGTTTCCCCATTCCACTTGCCCAGGAATTTTCCTAGCTTTTTGCTATCCTGCCACAATAACAATGTAACAAAATTTCAAAATATATTTGCATGCATTTATAGAAGGAAATGCACCAAAAAATTAAGTCATTATCAGTGGCTAGTAACTAATTTTTACAACTGTGGTTAAAAAAGAATTAGTATAAAATTGTCAGGGTACAGTAATTATTTGGTGTAAACTGACTACAAATTTTATCCTTAAGGCTGGTTCATAAACGGAACATAAGTAGAAACTTCCAGTGCACCTTCAGCTGCATGTTGTCCCATACTGTGGTTAAGAGCATGAGTTGTAAAATGACTGTTTTGCTTCGAATCCTGGTTCTACCATTTACTTAAGTGTGTGACCTTGGGAAATTAACAGTGCCTCAGTGCTCCTGAGGACTAGATGATTCTGGGCCTAGGACAGGAAAAATAAAAGATTAGCCTAGAGCAGCAATTTTCAACCTTTTTCACCTCATGGCACACATAAACTAATTATTAAAATTCTGCGGCACACAGAATATATTAACAAAGGATATATTTTTTGTCAATGTGACAAAAACCAAAAAGGTATGATCCATTCATATGGGATAGCTATTGTTGTGTTGACTATTTTCCTTTTTTTACAATCTAAGGGATAAAGAGGTCAGTGCCTCTGACTAAATAGGCAGGCATTGCATGTTTTAAAAATTCATGCGGCACACCAGCTGAAAATCACTGGCCCAGAGCATCTTACAGTGTCAGAGGTAAGGAAGTACTTAAAAAGGGTAAAGGAGTGTCACAGGAAAGAGTTCCAAAAAGTCAGTGCTGGGGTGATTTTTTTATCCTCACCTGAGGGTGTTTTCTCCACTGCTTTTCAGAGAGACTGGAAGGAAGAGGGAGAGAGAGGGAGAAACTGATGTGAGAGACACATGGACTGGCTGCCTCCCACACGCGCCCTTACAGGGGCCAAGCCTGCAACCGAGGTACGTGCCCTTGACCAGAATCGAACCTGGGACCCTTCAGTTTGCAGGCTGACGCTCTATAACCACTGAGCCAAACCGACTAGGGCAGTGATGCAATGATTTGAGCAACAAAAATTAATGAAGCAGTATTAGATTATAACCCAAAGTATAAAATAAATATATACAATTTATATTGATACAAATAAATGAATAAATAAAATGTGGTGGGGGCAAATCTTCCTTACCAAAGATTTCCAAATAATATATGTAGATACACCTCCCTCTAAGAGTTAAAGCTTAACTTTCCTCCCCACTTGAGGAACTAGATGATTCATTTCCAAAGAATATGGAAAAGGGAAAAATAACTTGCAGTGGAAAAATCGGACATTGTGTCAAACCCGTAGAGAATGATTAAAACAAAAAAAGAGTACACACCGGGCAGGAGGATCTCAACAGACTGAGATAAATGCTAGTTTCTTTCATGCATTTGAGATTAAGGAAGAAACAAAGATTACATAAGGGCAGGAGAAAGCAATCTGGGGATGGGATTACAGGACAGTTAAGATTATGTGCTCTCTTGCCCTAGCCAGTTTTGCTCAGTGGTTAGAGCATCAGCCCTTGGACTGAAGGGTCCTGGGTTCAATTCTGACCAAGGGCACCTACCTCCGTTGCAGGCTCAATCCCTGGACCCAGTCAGGGCGCATGCAGAAGGCAACCAATCAATGTTTCTCTCTCTCTGTCTCTGTCTCCCTTTCACTCTCTCTGAAAAGCAATGGAAAAAATATCCTCCAGTGAAGATTAAAATAAAAATTTATATGCTCTCTTCGGAGTAGGGCTTGCTTAAGGTAAAGATAAACCTTTTACTAAAAATGTTATATGCCTGGGGCGTGACTACCCACCAGGAACAGCACAGTTAGGAATTTACGATTGGGTCACCCTGTTTAGTTACTTTCCATAGAACCCCTTTTTTCATTACAACTGCATTAACCAAGTGACCAAGAGTAACGTCACCAATGATAAATTACGTTGACATCACTCACCCCCAGTTCTAATGTGATGAGAGGCACACTTCACCTCTGTGGTATTCTTCCCCAAAACCTGTAACCCAGTCTAATTATGGGAAAAACATCAGACAAATCCAAACTGAGGGTCATTCTACAAAGTTCCTGATCGGTTTACTCAAAACTGTGAAGAACATGAAAAACAAAGACTGAGAAACTGTCGCAGAACAGAGGAGTCTAAGGAGACATGACAATGAGGTATCCTGGAACAGAAAAAAAGACATTAGTGGAAAAACGAATGAAATTCAAATAGAATCTAGAATTAATAGTAATGTACTAACATTGGCTTCTTTGCTTTGACATATATTTTATGGTTTATGTAATGTTAACATTAGGGGAAGATGAGTGATAGCTAAAAAGGAAATTTACTATCTTTGCAACTTCTCTGTAAATCTAAAACTATTCCAAAATAAAGTCTATTAGAAAAGGAATTAATAAGTTCCTCAAAAAGTTAAATATAAGTTACCTACCATATGACCTAGCAATTCCACTCCTAGTGTACACCTAAGAAAACTAAAAACCAGCTCTGGCCATGTGGCTCAAAGGTTAAAGCATCGGCCCTTGGACTGAAGGGTCTCAGGTCCAATTCTGGTCAAGGGCACAAACCTTGGTTGCAGGCTTGATCATCCCTGGTCAGGGTGCATGCGGGAGGCAACTAATCAATGTGTCTCTCTCACACTGATGTTAATCTACACCCCCTCCACTCTCTCTGAAAAGCAATGGGGGGGAAAATATCCTCGGGTGGGGAAGAAAAAAATAATTTTATTGTTTCATCAAATACATCCTTAAGTGAACCTGGCTTTTTAAAAAAACTACAACCCCATGACCAATACCTTCATTGTTGTTAAAGTACAGAAGTTTTACCCACCATTGCTTTTGCAATTATCAATGCAAATGTCAAAACAGTGTAAAAGGCAAAGAATATGAAAATAGGTTTTGACCCCATAGACCCCAAAGGTACCAGAGACTACATTTTGAGAATTGCTGCTTTAAAGTATACCCCGGCTCTATACCTCACCCTCATAGCCCCAATTGTTCCCTTTTTTTGTTTAATTTTTTATTTATTGAAAGGAGAGAAGAGGAGAGAGAGGGGCGAGAGAAACACTGATTTGTAGTTCCATTTATGTATTCATTCATTGGCTGCTTCTTCTGTTTCCTGACTGGGGACTGAACCTGCAACCTTGGTGTATAGGGACAACATTCTACCAACTGAACTACCTGGCCAAGGCCCTAGAGAGTTTCTATGCACTCAGTTTTGTTTAAAGAAAGAAGTCAGAATTGGTTAAACACACAGCTACCCCTAACCAACAGACCGAGGATTAAACTCTGGCATTTAAGGCCATTTACTACTAAATCAATTTGATCTCATTTGAATGTAACAGGTAAATCCTACACTTCATGTACCCCAAATATACCAAAGATCTTCCTGCCCTAAATCACCTTTGTAAATGTATTTCTCCATTCTCAAATTTTCTTCACCCTTTACTTTTTAAAATATTTTATCTTTATTGTTGAAAGTATTACAAATGTCCTCCTTTCCCTCCATTGATCCCCGCCACCCTGCACCCCCCCACCTTCATCACACTATCATCTATGTTCATGGGTTATGTACATATGCCTGTTAATTCTTGGGTTAAATTCTCCCCACCCATCCACCCAACCCCGCCTTCCCTCTGAGATTCGTCAGTATGTTCCATGCTTCTAAGTCTTTGAATCTATTTTGTTCATCAGATTCTACATATGAGTAAGATCATGTGATACTTGTCTTTCTCTGACTAGCTTATTTTGACTAGCATAATACTCTCCAGGTCCCACCAAGCTGTCTCAAAGGGTAAGGGATCCTTCTTTTTTACAGCTGCATAGTATTCCATGGTATAAATGTCTGAGAAGATGCTTGATATGACTTCAATCATCTTGAACTTNATAGTATTCCATGGTATAAATGTCTGAGAAGACGCTTGATATGACTTCAATCATCTTGAACTTGTAGAGATTTGTTTTGTGTCCTAACATGTGGTCTTTCTTTGAGAATATCCCATGTGCACTTGAGGAGAATGCATATTCTTCAGCTTTGAGGTGAAAAGTTCTATAAATGTCAATTAAATCCATTTGATCTAGTGTGTCATTTAGAGTCACTGCTTCTGTGATTTTTTGTCTGAAAGATCTATCCAGTAAAATCAGTGGGGTGTTAAAGTCCTCTACTATGACTGCATTGCTATTGATCTCTCCCTTAAAGTCCTCCAGAAGCTTTTTTCATTTTTGTTTTTTCAGCCTGTGTGAGTCTTGTTCTGAGGTGGGTCTCTTGTAGACAGCATATATTTGGGTCTTATTTTCTTTTCTTTTCTTTTCTTTTTCCGAAGAGGGTATGATAGCCTCCCCCTTGCCCCAGCCAGAGTCTACTACAGTTGGTCCCCAGACTTTGATTTTTAGTGTCCCAGCCTCTTTTAATGGATGTGGGGACGGAACCGGGCAAGATCGGACATGTTACTATTCCTTACACTTACCTGTACATTTCCCTTTTCCTTGTTAGTTACCTCTAAACTCTACAAGGCTGGGAAACAAGAACAACTTGTGCTCAAGGCAGCCAAATTTTGGGTTTGTCTGCAGGTTTTTGGCATGTAACTCTCAAACTTGGGAAACGATCCAAGTCTGAACACTGACTGGGACATTTAAACTTTCCTCAGGTCCAGTTTGATATGGGGAATAATGTTCTGGATGGCAGGTTAGCTTTTTACTCTTTAGAACAAAAGCAATGAGCATTTTCACACCACAGGGAAACTTGGGTGGCAGTCTGTAGATAGATGAGGCTGCCTATCTTGCTTTAAATCTTCTGTGATCCCCCACAGCTGCTCCAACCATGTCCAAGATGGGACATTCCTTTTTATTCAAAATCTTCTTCTTACAAAACATGTTCTTACCCCTAGCTCTGAGTTTTCTGTCTTTCCACCCATGCTGTGGTGCTGTGTGTGTGTGCATGTGTGTGCAGATAGGCTTGAAGTGAAAGGGCAAGTGACACAGGAAAACCAGGTAACAATCATCAGGTCTTGTTTTCTTATCCGTTCAGCTACCCTATGTCTTTTGATTGGAGCATTCAATCAATTTATATTTAAGGTTACTATTTTTCTTTATGCCAATTTCTCATTCTATTTCAACTTAGTACAGCAGTCCCTTTAACATTTCTTGCAATGCTGTTTGGTGGTGATAAACTCCTTTAGTCTTTTTTTTTTTTTTT